CTTTGAAAAATAAAAAAATGGATCTTAGTTTACACATAAAAAAAAATTATTCAATATAAACTGTTGTATATGTAATATGGATATGATTAACCCAGCAATCTGTACACATTTCCCGTGTACTTGTACAACTGCAACAAGTAGTTGTACGCATATGGCAATCTAGACATCGATGTTGAATATATTTTCCTTTGAGTCGTAAGGTTGTAGGATCATCCCTAATGCTAATGAGACGATGCTCGATACTTTCAAAATTCAGCTTTCATTTTTTTTTAGTTCGATCAACAACTGTTGTATCGAAATAGCAGTCAAAGATCGATTTTACTAATTGCTTCCAAAAATCTATGTGTTTCATTTTTTGCTTGCCAGGAACAAATCTACAATATGCAGAGAAGCTGTTTGCCTCTGCAACTGTAAAATAAAAGGCAAATATGCAATCTACAGAGCGTTTTGATTTGAGGATATCATGATAAGAAGGTGCGTTGTCGCGTAAATTATTCAGGATGTCTACAGCTGATCTGAATTCATTGTATTCATCGAAAACAACAGGTCACTGAAATTTTACTTCACCATGACTCTTGATATATTGTTTTACTTCCGTTCTGAGATTGGTTGTAGAACAACTAGAGAGAACAGCAATATTTTTGCAGTCATGAATTGAGAGATAGTTAAATTAACACCATTTAATTTTCTGAATCGACTAATGAATGATCCATAGGCATCTCCGAGAGCGTCCGTAATATCGTGGAGAATATTTTTTGGCCAGTAATGACGCTTTTTAAGTTGCAAGATTGAATAAAGTCCTTGTTCATACAAAGCAATACATGTATTGGTACTACTGAACCATGAATTCGCGATAATTGTTCTACTGCTGTGAAACCATGGTTCTGTTAATCGTAACACAGTTGCAGTTGTTGATGGATATTGATTGGAGAAATTTTTTTCATAGCATGTTCCGGAGATTCTACGGGATCTAATTATAAGAACAAATTAACTTGAGCATCCGCAAGAGTTTTAAATTCACAACCAATTGGATGCGGCTTTCTTGGTATCTTTCATTGAAATGGACCCTTATCGACCTTGCTCATCCATTGACACATTGATTCATCGATACAAAGGTAAGCACCAGGTACAATAGCTTTAATGAGATTGTCGTTAAACGCATCATGAAATTGCCATGCAAAATAAAAGGGTTCATCGTTTGCTGGTACATCTGTTAACGCCAAATATTTTATGATGTCCCGAAATTGTTTGTGAGACATATATCACCCAAACGCCAGCGCAATCCCACCTGTTTCTGATTTAATAGACCAGTAATCGCAGATATCAGTACATTTTACATATGTCATAATCGTCAGAATGCCAATAAAATACATGAATTCCATCCAAGTTAAGTCATTCCATGTTTGTTCGCATGCACGTGCACATTTATTCATCGTTGTTATTACTGTTGACATGATATACTCGACGGGTAAAAAATGCTCAAAGAACTGCCTTGGTGATGCATGTGTGATATCGGAGATATTTATGATTGATGCATTGGAATAGAAACGGGATATTTTACGAGGATCGATGGTGACTACTCCATCCTTCCACAACATATTATTTGTATTTCTGGTAATTGCTGTTTCTCTATTTACGCTTTGGTCGCTATCACTCGAGATATCGGTTTCACTATTAGCTGACTCCTCTGATTCGTTATTTATATTATTTAGATTGGGATTTGGTTCATCATTAGCCGTTGTGACGAAGGGTGCTTTTTATTGATTGAAATAATAGAAGAGGATTTTTTCTTCTATTTAAATAAATGTAAGTAGATTTACAAATATAATTAAGTTTATTTATGACGAGTAATTATTATAACTAAAAGATGTTGTGGATCTTCTTAGTGTAATAAAACCCTAAGTGTACTTTATATCCTTAGCGGTGTAAATATAATAATTTAAATAAATCAAATGATAATAATTATGTGCAAATTAATATCAATTAAAGTGATGGATTTCTTTAAGTATTTATTGATTTGATACAATAACTATATGAAACCAGTTATTTTGCTAGCTGTACCTTGATCAATTGATACTTTTTCTTTATGTCAAAAAGCATCTCTTTATATACAAAATTTCTATATTTAATGCGTCATTAGATTACTAATAATTCATTATTATAGTTTCTAAAACACATAATAATAACTAATAATACATTATAATCAAGACTAATACATTATGTTCACTAATAATACATGATTTGTAGTCTCATGTATATTTATGTATGTTCATGTAGTTTGTATACATGTGTATTTGTTAATCCGATAATAAAATTAATATAAATATTAATTTAAAAGATAAAATAAAGATAATTATAATATATATAAAACTGAATCGTAACACCGTGAAAATGGCTTCGAATTTCATTTGACCCGCTGAGATCTCGATTTCCATCTCTGGCTGGGCATCAAGACTAATTACCCAACGATTGGTACCAGATGCTACTCGTAAAACTGTGGCTGAAAGTTGTTTGGTTTTCCACATGTCTCCTAAGAGCGGACGAGCAGTGTTTTCACTCACAACTGAACCCAAAACGGAAACCTTGGCGCCTTCTTTGATATTTGGTGAAATCTGTCCCATATTCGAAGTTGGATATAGAAGTCAACAAAAATGATTCTGAAAAAAAAATAATGATATATTATTGTTATATAGGTCTTCCCACTATGATCTATTTCTTTCTGACACCAACTCACACTTTACAACTGGTGAATGAACATCACACTTCACGGTTGGCGTATGTTTCGATCTGCGCACGACTACAAAATAAAGATTTGTTAATAAACTGTTTCGACCTACTTGACTTTCTCGACTTCCTCGACTTCCCCGACTTCCTTGACTTTCTTTTGGGTCGTAACAATAAGTAGAAGTTGGTGCAAAATCTTGTTTTGGTGACTCCTTTTTATGGTTGATTGATTTCACGTTCTACCAGCTGGTGCTACATTTCCATACTTGGTACATGATTGTTTCTCATGTGCAATCGTGACAGATCTATAATAATAATCATAATGATTATTATATTTAAAGGAAGTAATTTATCATTATTTAATCTCAGTTAGCTTCTTTTAATTGGTAGAAAATTTGGTTTATTTGCTGTCATAATCTAGTACAATGTACTAGATTTAGTATGGGTAAATTCAATCCATTAATATAACAACCTTTATATGATAATTAAACTTGTGTATAGTGTTAAATTCTATAATATAATAAAAAATTTTGTTTTAAAAGAAAAAAATAAATTTATAAAATTTTTTGTAAATTATTAATAAAAAATTAATTTATAATATTAAGTATTAACATATAATTTTAATAATAAAATATTATTTTCAGGTTTTATTCTAGTTATTTTCAAGTTTTTATAAAGATTTGAATATTAATTTATAAATTATAATAAAGAATATAAATTTCTTTTTTTCTGAATTTATACAAAAAATAAATTTATATAATAAATTGTTAATAAAATCATGTTTTTATTTTTATTAATTAAAATTGATAATAAATTATTATATATAAACAAGATTTAACTATATTTAAAAATTAAAATGTATTTTTAATGAAAAATCATGTTTTTTATTAGTAATATAGTATAAATTTATTTTTTATATAAATTCAAAAACAAGAATTTATATTCTTTATTATAATTTATAAATCAATATTTAAATCTTTATAAAAACTTGAAAATAACTAGAATAAAACCTGAAAAATAATATTTTATTATTAAAATTATATGTTAATACTTAATATTATAAACTAATTTTTTATTAATAATTTACATTTAAAACCTGTAAAATGATTATTTATATTTTAAAATACAACAAAATTTTTTATTATTTTATAGAATTTAATATTATAAAGTTTAATTATGATATAAAAGATTGTTATATTAATAAAAAATTAACTTTATATAGTAAAATACTCAAAAAATTATTATTAATAATTAATGAGTATTCTCATACTTTTTATCAGTCACTATATTTTAAACCCTTTAAAAAAAATAGTTAATTCTAATAGAATACATGTTAAGAAACTTTTTTATTATAAAACTTTTTTTGATTTTATATGTTCAAAAAAAAGTTAAAGCATATTTTTTACATTCTTGATAAAACGGTAAAATAAACGCACCACTACTTTGGCAGATCGACATGGATTATAGACGAACTGACAACAATATGTCTGTTTATTTAGATGTTATTTGTTTTATTATTTTTGCGTTCATCGGATTGCATGTGAGTGAAAATCAGGTGATCAATGATTAGCAATGTAAGTGGTGCATTATTGTTGCAGGCCACTGTATAGGGAATCGAATCGAATTTCAAAATGAGATTCGATCTGAAATAATCGACTTTCGATATTCGAATCTAAAAGATTAATTATCTCTAACTCTTTCAAATTAAATGCAGCCTATAACAAAAAACAAAAAATATAAAGATAATGAAAGAGGTATTTATTAAAAAAACCCATGAGGTGAAGGAAGAAATTTTGACCAGGATAGTAGAAAAGTAGTGGCATAAAAATTTCTAGAACCCGTGATCTCCGATCCCGATGTCGACCGATATATCCCTTAAATTTATGCACCAATCAAATCGCAAGATCAACGTGCAGCGCCAAAATAAACAAAATAAATGCTCGTTTTTGAAAAATAGCTTGTACAGTGCATACAAGCTAAAACCGACCAATCACGTGATCTTGTTTCAATTTTCAAAATTTTCAATCTAAAATTT